GGGGAATAAACCCCACAAACTCTGTAGTTATTCCCCAGAGCCTCGTGCTGAGGTCTATTGTTTTAGGCTGAATTTTAATATGTCGAAATTGGTCTATTCCATTGTTTAATCTTCACGAGATTTTTGTGCTGACTTTTCAACGACTTAATCTATGCAAAATTATTCTTTGTGCCACTTGGAAGTTCGGTCAACGGCCACTTTTGAACTTGAGTAAGTTTTGATCAGTTTCGTATTTTATTTTTGTTCTTTCATGTCGCTCTTTCACTTTTCTCTCCATGAAAGATTTATGTATGAGGCATGCATGAGGGATACTAGTTTGCAATCCAATTTTAAAATGCCTACTGGCGCAGTTTTGTATGTTGCCGATATTTGCTGTTATCGTTCGATCGGATATGTCCGCTTTCAATTGTTGTGAGCCGAAATTCAGTTCAGTTCAGTTCAGTGTGACAATGTGATCTGCATTGGCTAAGGCGTCTGAAAATTTGGAACTGTTAAAAGGAAAACTTATTTTCGTATTAGATTTAATGCGTAAAAATTTTTGAGTTTCCGGCTATTAATTTCCAAGTTTGATTTATATTCAACATGTAAGAACATTAAATATGCATTGTTAAGTATGGCGATAGACAGAAATCTTATACCGACGCGTTAATGGCTGATATAAGGACAGAAAGTTCTAATCAAATTAACTCGTGCTGTTTCAAACAATGAATTTAAGTTCTTGCTCTGGTTTTCGGGAAATAAGCCGCTGGATAATAAATCTCTTGAATTTTTCACTCCTCCTTTTGTCTTTTTGGAATTTGTTTTCTAAGACTTGTTAAGATATACTGCGACACTACACGCGGAAACCGCCTTTCATGATATACTTAAATTCTCGTTAGTTCTCTCAGTTGCTCGTTTATGTGTTGAAATCTCTGGAATCTCAACTCAGGTTGGATAAACATTAAAGGCAATTTGTACGAATGACTAAAGGATAGAGTAATGTGTACTATTTTAATGTAACAACCGCAAGAATGTATTCTTCAGTTTGTAAAGGTTGCCTATAAGAGCCAGATGTTTTCCTTTTTTTTCGCTGATGTAGAAACTGATAAGCGTTGCAAGGCCACATTTCTCACCATTAATTGCGCGTGGTCATCTCTGTTGCCACATCGTTGTGTGTTCGTGAAGCAGTGTTATGTTATGCGTTAGCTTAATTGTGTTTTGCGTGTTTCCGTTAGGGTCCAATTTTGGCTCTATAGCTCAAAGCTCTAATTCGCTTTGTTGTCTTGTGGAATTTTCCGCCGTCTACAGTCGGCTCCCTGAGGTTTAAAACGGGAAATCATCGCAGACCAAAATAACTCCCCATTGAGTGCTTTCAGTCACCGCAAACGATAGTTTAAGACAACAATGTAGATTTTAAAGCTGTTATCCGCTGGATACCGCCTTTTCGTCGTCTATTTTGATGTTTTCTTAAGACAAATAACTGTTCAGCTCGAGGAGAAACAACTAGTTCTGTCTGTTGCGGAGATTGGTCTATAAATTTACGTTGTCAGTTTCCCCATTTTTATCAGTTTCACATTTGTTTGCAGTAGTTTTTGTTTGTTAGATTGTTCCTATATATCTCATGGCGGGTACGCCAAAACATTAAAAAAAATAATAATAACACGTTGTAACGAGAACTTTCTTCATATACCTGCACTTTTAAAACATTCAAGGTCACTTTTGTCCGTACAGGTTTATCGTAACACGAGTAGTAGGTATCAATTCACTTAATTTACTGCTTACATGACATTAAAATTTGCAAAACAACTGATCCTAGACACGAATATTTTGTGTCTACCTTAAACAATCGACAGCACGTTTCGTTTTTAAGGTGCGGAGATTATATTCCCTGCACATTGAAACGTTTTAATCCATGCACCGAAACTTGAAAGCAACATTACTGTATTCTGAAATGGTTTAAGTGATAAATGTTTTAGTTTTAAAGTCATCAAAATTTCCTTTCTCAACTCAAACGAGCACAAGATGACGAACAATGTCTAATGAATGGTTTGACGCTCTTTCAGAGGCTTCATCCGGGACCTTAGCAATTTTCACTGCTGTTAGCGGCTTCATAGTCCTGTTGTTGGTACGCTTGTGGAGAAATTCGCGTTTCGCCATGGATCCACCGCCTGAGATGCAATCTGTAGAAATAGAGGTAACAAAATAACTTTGAATTATGACTCTAAGTCACTGAAATACATTAGAGGCCATTAATCTTAGAATATGGTATTCAAGGTTTCGATTCTGGCTCCAATCTTTCTCTCTTCTGTGAAGCACTTTCAGCCCGCGCTAGAAAGTCAGATTTGTGGCGCAGTAAAAATGCAATATTTTGTCGGAACTTTAGTTCACAACTGTGTAAGATTCAGGGTACGTTGTATGCGGTTTTATCAGGAGGATTAGAACACTGAGACAAAGTTGGTTCATTTTTAGAAAGATTCCCAGAATTTACGGAGTGTAAATGACGTCTCCAGCAAACGGCACAGTCCGTTCTAAGCACCTGTTGTTAGAGTTTTCGAAACGAGCGATTCAAACCGCATGATTGCCAACACCACAAATCGAGGAGATTTTGACTACTATTGATTGGCCCCCATGCAATTTCTCTAAAAATTAATTTATTCTCTGTTTTTTGAGATGAAGAAAAGGATTGCAACCGAAAAAGGCGGGAAAGAAAAAAAAATATGTCCCACCGCCATCTTTGCTTTGTTTAACGACTCGCGTTTTTGAGCGCAGATAGATTTTAGTTTCTCAGAGAAACTGAAATATGTCCTTATGGTTTGCAACTAACTGGCTTAATGAAAGCGGACAAAATCGTTTCGTGGATTTTTCATCTTACAGTTAAAAATAGAATTAACATCGTTTTATCAGAAAGGGACAAACATTCGTGTCTGAAGTAGGATCGACTTACAACTGCGCGCTGCTTTAGACAGGATTTCAAATGTTTGTTGCGACCAAGTTGATCTACAATTAATTCCTCGGTTGGAGCCAAAAATCGTGCTTCAGATTGTCAGAGGCGTACATGGATGTCTTTTGGCGGGGTTTATGATAGCTTTACTGGCTTGAAATCTTGTAACTGTCTGAAGAAATGAGCGCTGGTGTGTTAGTTAGCTCGGAAGGTTTTCTATATTCAAAGGTTGGAAGCTCGTTGTATCCCCTATGAAGGCTCATCCAATTCGTTGTATTAGAGGCCTTTCGTCGGAGGAATATTCATTACATGTACATCAGTAGTTTCGTTATATTAAAAGGTGTTTATTTTATTTGCAACGTTAGAGTTTTGTCCTTTGCAAGACGCATTATCCGTTCAATTACAGCTCTTCAGTTTTATCGGCCAGGGACGTTCCCTATTGTTATGGAAGCGCGATGCAAGAGTAACATCATGATATTACAAAGCATGCTGGGAATAACATGAGAAGAACACGTGATTAAAGCGTGACCGTTTTTTGACTTTGTGCTCAGTGTGATATACATTCGTGTTCGTGTCAGTTAACGCATGACAGTCCGTTACATCGACAGTTCGTTATTGAGTAGTTCGTTGTCGGGTAGCAGGTCTATTGTATCACGGGGTAATTCGTTAGATCGCAAGGTAGGAAGGTTCGTTACGTTGGAAGGTTCGTTGACTGTGGGTTCCTTTAATGGGAGGTATGTTATATATGGGAAAATTTACTTTAAAGGCGGTTCTATATGACCAAAGGGTTTTTTTATGAGAGTTTCGTTGTACTGGATTGTTTAGCAACGCTGGGATAGTTCGCCATATCAAAGGCCAGTTTCATAACTTAAGGTTCCTTATATAGAGACTCTAGATCTTGTATTGGAGGTTCACGGTATCGCCAGGTTGTTGTTCAGTATGGTTTCCCGAGGTTTGTGATACCCCTTACTGTCATCTTGGATTTGCTGTTTATACAAGTGGTGCAAGTCCAAGCCTTCATGTTATGTCTTGCAAACACTACGCAGAAATACACCCGAGTATCTCTCTCCTGAGGCTAAAAGGCGTTGTCGATTTTCCGCTTGGATAAGGATATGGCTAACTGCGTGGCACGCTATTACCAAAAGATCCACTCCAACGGTGCCAATCCCTCCTTCCTTACTCTCCATAAATTTAGTTTGTAATGAAGAGTTAAGTGGACATCAACCTTTCTCTCAGGGTACTGACGGGGCAAGAAGGACCACGCTGACGACTGAAATCGTAACACGACAATACCCTGACGTCGGCACCGTTTACGAGAGCTTCCTCCTCGGTGTTAAAATTTCAGGTGAGCGACACTCAGTAAGTGAGCTTACGCATTTCTGTTGATCTATCTGCTTTCCTTCTTTTGCTATCGTTCTTCGTCTGTTCATCATACCAAAATTCCGATAATAAATCCAAAAGGTTCTTTCAAGGATCTTATTATCGTTAAGGAGAGTCAGCATCAGCATCGAAAAGAATATTATGTGTCAAATAATGATTTTTAGGCTTTATTTGGAAATGTCTAACTGAGTAACAACGTGACACATTAAAACTTTCCGTCTAATAAGCAGAACGGCGTTATGAAACACAAAAAAAGTAAATCCTCGTCTATAAGAGCAATTTTTACGTGACAATTTTTATTTGCTCGTGTAGAGGACGAAAATTGGCCAGTTTTTATGTGACAAATATCAGTTTGCTGAGGACAAATAAAAAAAAGTTGTCACATACGAAAAATTGCTCGTCTAGACGACTCGTCACATAAAATGTGTATTAAGAGTTCCGCTTATTCTTTCCCGGTCAAAAGACGCTTTTATTATGGCGGCGTCCACACTACGCCGGAGGAATTTGAAAACGCAGCTTTACCTCTACGGTTAGGCCTACCGTCCACAGTAATCCGTCACGAAAACGGAGCTTTCCGAAAACGCACTTCAAACCGGAGGACTTTGAAAACGCCGGCTTTTCGTTTTCGCATGGACGCGGCAAACATTTTGCAAACGGAGCTTTTCGAAAACGAATTAGCCACGTTAACCATATGATTTCCGTGACCGAGTTTTCCTCAAACACAAATCCAAAATGATCGGTGATTGATGTGTTTTTGAATGCCTCCGGCGTAGTGTGGACGGAAAAAATTTGATGCGCTTTCAGAGTGAAATCCCTTTTTTCAAAATCCTAGGTGTAGTGTGGACCGGGCCTATGTTCATATTGCGTCTTTCAGTTGTATATAGTTTGCTCTGTCAAAAGGAAAGTTTACAAATAATTGTATCTTTTCTCGATTAGGTGACGGTCCTTGTCTGGGGACTTGGGACCCAGACATCAAGAAATATACGTGGCTTACATATAACCAGGTGAGTGGGACATACACTGCGTCGTGTGTCGCAGTTCTGAGTCCAAATTGAAAAAGATTCTTTCCTTCTTTTTGGTTTTACCTACAACCCTAGGAAAAATGCTACCATCCGTCTCTTTACTGCTACTTGTTTAAGCATAGAAAGTATTGTAACTTGTCTCTGTTTTCTCTGTTATAAAACGACAGCGAAACGATGCCAAATGATTTGTTATAACTGACTTAGAGAGGGTAGGGGACGACTTTTGCAGTGGCATGCCTGTAAACTAGCTAAGCTTGGTGCTTGTATAGCTAAGTACATGACCACTATAAATAGGATTTACATCTGCATTTTACACACTGTAGTTGGTTTTAAAAAGTGGCAAATCCATATCCGTACTTATTTTGTC